AACTCAAAAAGTACTTAATGAAAACATACTTTATTATAAAGTTTTGAAAAAGTTTCGACAAGGGCTATAAGAATATGCAATAAAAAATAGAGATTTCAATTTAAGAAATGCAATGTGACCTTGATATGACCCTAACAATGCCACCCAAGGTCTAACTAATATTCCTCTCTCTTTTCCCCTTAAAACCAAACAACTTTTGTCTAAAAAGTTTCCTTCTAAAATTTACAGGTTTTGAGATATTTGCCTGTTAAGATTAAAAAGACTAACCCTGTATAATATAATGTATATATATTTTTTACATTTGCTATAAGAATGTTTATAATAAGTGATTATTATTTAGAGCTATTTATTAATTTATGAACGGAAAAAACTTAGATATATTTTATCCATTGATGTTATCAAACATATATATACAGGGTGAGTTTTTTAACTTGAAACTGTAAAATATCTCGGAAAGTAAGCTTTATCGAAAAAAATGTTTCAAACAAAAGTTGTAGGGTTCGGAGGGGGAAATAATTGTTTTTAAGAAAATTATTTATAATGTATTTTTTTAAACAATTATTTGTTTTTTTTTTGCACTAATTAATTTTTTCCATTATTCTGTACATAAAAGTATTACAGTAAGATTATCGAAAATTAAATATTTTTCGAGATATTTTATCTTTTAAATCAAAATATGTCAGATTAAGATATAAAATAACTCAAAAAGTACTTAATGAAAAAATACTTTATTATAGTGTTTTGAAAAGCTCTCGAGATAAGCTACAAGAATATATAATAAAAAGTAGGGTTCCATTTAAGAAAACGTCGATCACATTGATCTCACCTTGAAAAGGTCACTCAAGGTCAAATCCATATTTTTATCATGTGGCCCCCTCCGAACCCTATAACTTGTTTGAAACATTTTTTTCGATAAAGCATACTTTCCGAGATATTTTACAGTTTTAGGTTAAAAAACTCACCTTGTATATACATGGTAAACCTGCATAAAAGGGGACCCCCGTCGTATGACCTTGTCCTTGACATATGTTGTCAAGGTCATCGTCCTGAGTGACTTTCAAAAGGCTTTAGTCGTCGGTCATTACTCATTACAAAGTTATTAATGAAAAAACTTTAATGAGTAGAATATAATTTAACGACATCATGTACGTTTTAAAAGGGTTAAGATTAGATATAGAGTGAATTTGGTTTTGTCTTGGAAAGTACATGCGTAGACACAATGGGTTCCGCCACCCCCTTCCCTACGGGGGGGCTCCACTTCCGGAAGATATAACCTAACCCAAACCAAATTCTAGTTTTAAATCAGAAATAGGTTTGAGTTAGGTTATATCTTCTGGAAATGGAGTCCCCCCGAAGCGGGGGGGGGGGGCAGAACCCACTGCGTCCACGCATGTACTTTCCAAAACGAAACCAAATTCACTTTATATTTAATCTTAACCCTTTTAAAACGTACATGATGTCGTAAAATTATGTTCTACTCATTAAAGTTTTTTCATTAATAACATTTTAATGAGTAACGACCGATGGCTAAAACCTTTTGAAGGTCGTTCAGGATCATGTCCTTCGCAGGTGCTCGCCGGGCATGGTTGCTTTGGCGAGTACCTACACAAAATAGGGAAGGAGCGCACCACGCAATGCCACCACTGCGACGAAGACAGGGACACGGCGCAGCACACGCTGGAACTTTGTCCAGCGTGGGCAGACGAGCGCCGTGTCCTTGTCGAAAAAATAGGGAACGACTTATCGCTCCCGGCCATCATTCAAAAGATGGTCGGGAGCAAGGAAGCCTGGGAGGCGGTCTCCTTTTTCTGCACCAGTGTCATGCTGCAGAAGGAGAAGGCCGAAAGAGAGCGAGAGAGACGGGGAAAAAGGGGGAGACTCCCTCTCAACCCTGAATCCCGGGAGGAGAGGGACGACCCCTCCTGGCTGCCTGGGCGAAGAAACTGCCGTGGTGGTGGCCGGGGGCGGGTCGGGCCCTGGGGGACCGTTACCGGGAGGGAGAGAGGGTGCCCGTGGTAGAAGGGGCGGCGGCGGGGACGTCCCGCCGAGGCGGGGACGCGGAGGCGGACCCCCCGGTCGCAGGAGAAGAAGATGCCCCCCGGATGGGGCGAAGTAGTAGAGGGAGGTTGGGCGAGGGGCGCGGTGCCCCCCTCGCCCGGTTGTGGAAGAAGAGGCCCGTTAGGGCGGAGCAGTCTAAGGAGGAGGGCGGAGGCGGGTGTCGCCCGGCTGGTGGCCGCACGGCGTAAACCCTGCGGCCGGGAGTCGGGCGGCACCTGCCCCCGCCCATGCCGAGTTCCTCCCCCGGGGGAGGGCCTCGGCAATGCCCCCGGGCCGATGGTCGAATCCCGCTAGGGAGGGAACCGCGGCCGGGGGGCAGGGGGACCACAGAGACCTGCTAGGAGTCCCATTGCACGTGGCCCCCCTGGTAGGGACGCGGCAGTCGGGGGCCCTCTCACCGGTGCCTTAGAGCGCTGGTGGGAGGGCCCCACTGCCTGCGGACGGGTTTCCCCTTACCCCCCCGTTCTGGGGTGAACTCCCAGAAGTAGGGCTCCCGGAACGCTGACCGAATCTCATCTCCCTTTGGGAGAGGGAGGGAGTCTCGTTCCGGGAGCGGGGGGTGGCGGCTCGAGCGGGAACACTCGAGCCGTGACCCCGCCCCCCAAACTTTTTGGGAGGGCGTGGCATGAGGGCGGTGCTCCCCTGCGCCACAATCGGGTAGGTCCCGCATGATGACATTCGCGGGGGAGAGAGTATCTTCCCTCCGGGGAAGATGCTCTCCCGGGAAAGGTAAGGCCGTGGGGTGGCAGGAAATCATGCAAACGCAGTTCCCTGCCACCCCTATAAACGCCAGCGAAGGCACCCGCTGTGGTTTTAGTGTGGTAGGTCTTGGGCCCCCTGGCCGATCCATTCGTGGATCGGCCAAGGGGAACAAGGAGTCCCACATAACCCACGTCCTCTACCCGGAGGGCGGGGGTACCATGATGGTTTCCACAGCGAAAAAAAACAGGGTCATGTCCTTGACAACATATGTCAAGGTCAAGGTCATTCGAGGGGGGTCCCCTTTTATGCAGGTTTACCCTCATGGCTTCTACATGTAACGAAAACGTCGCGCGAAAAAAAGCGACGCGATATTTGAATCAATTTTTTATTCTTACGGAAAAGCGCTAAATTATTTGATTATAGCGTCGCTTTTTGCTAGGCGGAGTTTTCGCGTTCTGTCATTTCATATATTACTTCTATTCGCTTGCTATAACATTTTTTTTTCTTTTGCTCACATCATTCTTTCATTCATGTTGCTCTTTCTGCTCTTTTTCTATACAAATAAATAAATAATTTTATTTTAATTCCATGAAATATTCATTTAATAAAATATACAATTAAATTACTTTCTTTTTCTGTTTTGCTACTTTATATAAAATGCTATTGTATATAAAATAACCAATTGATCACATGTTTATCGCAAATATAAAAAATATAGACAGATTATATTATATAGATGTATTTAGAGAATAGCAAAATAGAAAAAGAAAGTAATTTAATAGTTTTATTTAACGATATCTTCTATGAAATGTGTTCGGGAGTCGACCTCGTCGAGATCGCCCAAATCTTAAGAGAGACGCTCAGAGATGAGCGAGAAGCGGTGTGTTACGCGAATCCGTAGATCCGCTGGAGAATAAGGAGATTACCGCCCGCCTTGGAACAATAGTTCCAAAATAATCGAGATAACAATTGCAGTAAACGACAAGAGCGCACGCCACAAGTAACATGAGATACATGAGCGAAGAGACGACAAGTTACGCGACGTGGTTTGACGCGCTGAATTTGCCGCCCGCTTTGGCGGAATGACGCTCGCATCTTGACAATTTTGATCTTAGTCTAATAATGTACAGTAATGAAACGCAACGCGGCGAAGGAGTCTAATTGCTCGTCGCCTCACTATTGACCGGTAATACGCACAGTTTAACAATCGGTCTTTTGAATTCGGATGTGGCCGTCTTTACGGTGACGACCCGTGCGAATCCGTCGGAGCCGGGGTGACAGCGCGTCACTCGGCCCAACTCCCATTTGCAGGGGGGTAACAGCGGATTACGCAAGAGAACAAGTTGCCCGGGTTTAATCGGTGGCTCGACCTTTCGCCATTTTGCTCTTTGTTGTAAAGTATTTACATAGTCGTTACTCCATAATTTCCAAAGCCATTCAGTGACATGTCGGACTAGTTGCCACCTCGAAAGACGATTTGCGTTGAGATCGAGCAGTGATGGTTCCGGGTTTACATTAAGCGTTGATTAAGAAATGACCGGGAGTGAGGCATTCGTAGTCCTCAAGAGTGTCGGAGAGAGGTGCGATTGGCTTTGAGTTTAGGCACGCTTCGATTTTGCATAGTAAAGTCGAGAATTCCTCGAATGTTAGCATATGATTCCCTAACACGCGGCGCAGATGCGTTTTTACGCTACGGACGCCCGCCGAAATGCGGAGCAGACGGGGGAATAAAATTCCATGTCACATTATCGGAGGCGGTCAGGTTCAAGAAATTCGGATCGCGTACTGCTGACCGGTACGCGACGGTCAGTTCTCGGTCCGCCCCGACAAATGTTGTCCCGTTATCCGAATACATAGATTGTGGTAGACCGCGGCGAGCACAAAATCAAGCGTAAGCATTTAAGAAAGCTTGAATGGAGTAGTCGCTTACTAACTCCAAATGTATTGCCTTTGTCGCAAGGCAGATAAAGAGCGCGATGTATGCTTTACGCGACGTAATCCCTCGTCCAGCGGAAGTTGTTGCATGAAGATTTTCGCGGTAATCGTAACCGGAGTGACCCATCCGAGCGGATCGTAGAGTCTGGCGATCCCGGACAAGATCGTACGTTTTGTTTCCGGGGCGTTATCAGCCAGCGACATGCGAAACTCGAAAATATCGTTTGCCGGATTCCACCCGATTCCGAGGATTTTAATTTGTTCGTCCTCAGCAAGAGGTTTTTTCGTAGCTAAACCGTGATCCGCTATGTCAATATCCTCGAGGAGAGAGGGCGAATTGCTTGCCCATTTCCGTAATAAGAATCCGCCGCGGTATAATATCGAATTTAGTTGATCGCGCGCTAGTCGGATCTGAGTTGTATCGTCAGCTCCGAAAAGTAGATCGTCGACATAAATATTATCGCTCAGGATAGACACCGCGAGCGGAAAATGCTGACCTTCATCTCGTACTAATTGTTTTAATACCCGAAGGGCAAGAAATGGCGCACAGGCCATTCCATACGTCACCGTTAGAAGTTGATAATCGATGAGCGGTTCCGATAGCGACGACTTCCACAAGATCCGTTGATAATCTATATCCCGCGCATCGATGTGAATCTGGCGATACATTTTCGCGATATCGGATGAATAGACGTATTTGTATCTACGCCATTGTAGGATGACCGACATGAGATCGGTTTGTAATTTCGGCCCGGCGTTTAAATGATCATTTAACGATGTGCCGTTAGAAGTAACGCTCGATGCGTTAAAAACAACGCGAAGACGCGTAGTGGAGCTACTTTCCCGGATCACTCCATGATGCGGGAGATAGACCTGTTGGTTGATGTGAGTTTGAGCGATCGGCGCGGGCCGCATATGCCCCAGCCGCTGATAATCAGACATGAATTCGCGATATTCTGTCGCGAGCTCCGATTTATCAAGAAGTCTGCGGAGTGACGAATTTAGCATTTTTTCCGCCCGAAGTTTTGAATTTCCGATGTCAATCGGAGGACCCTTTTTGAACGGTAGCCGCACGATGTACCGTCCGTTTGAGTCGCGAGAATGAGTTAAGCGAAAATGCTCTTCACACTGCTTTTCTTGCGGTGTGAAATGAGTTTGTCGGGGGAGTTCTTTGACCTCCCAAAAGCGACGAAGTTCCTCTTCGAGAGAGGGAGAGCTTATTGTGTGATGAGCGGAAATGCTACCGCGAGTGCAATGAACGGAAGTCAGTGTCGACTGAGAGAGATCGTTACTCTCGAGCGATGTGAGAGGTCCCGATATTATCCATCCGAAAATGGAATTTTAAGCGAAGGGTTGCCCGACGCTTCCTCTGCGAATACCGTCGCGAATGTTTCCGAAATGAATGTCATTTCTGAGCCCTGATCGAGGAGAGCTCGAACGACAGCGGTGCGGCCCGACGGACTGCGAACTGTTACCCAGGCCGTCGCTAGGAGGACGGGTGAGCGCTTTCGCGTTACGGTTGAAGCGTTTAATTTACCTCCGGCGTCGCATCCGACGCTTGAGGCGACGAGCAATTAGACTGTGCATTTTTCAATGCACTTGAGCTAGAATCCGAGTCAATGTGTAGCATCGAATGATGCTTCTTGTGACAAACCCGACAAGAATATTTACTTTTGCATTCATGTGCGGAATGCATTGCTCTCAAACAATTTGTTGTGCCTTCGTGGAAGCACAGCGAATTTTTGGGGATCGTTGGCCAAATTAGAACTAAGGAGTTCGGGATCGCGCAGGGTCGTTCCGCCGTTGTAGTAAATATGTAGTTTGAGTAGAATAAAAATCATTTATTTAGTCACATCGACTTTAGCTCTTCTTTTCCTTTGCGCACTTTAACTTGGCTTATCGCGGTATAGAGTTACTTCGCGTGCCTGATATCACGGCTGCCGTCGTGAGATCAGCTGGGACGTTCTTTATTATTAAATCGTTTACGTTAGCCTGTCTCGTGGTTGCTACTGTTAATTTATTCGCACTACGTAATTGTATGATTATAACTGGTTCGTGTGATTTTGTGATTAGGACTGCCTAGCGCTCGTTCGAGGTGGGTAGTTTTATCATCTCCTGTTCGATTAGTTTTTTGGAGGAGATCGCTTAGCGACAGGACCATAGGTGGTCGTGTCGCTCGATTTTGGGTGGAAAAACCCCGGATGCAAGCTACGTATATTCTTTGCTTGCATTTCCGGCGTATCGTTCTTCGAGTCTCGCGAACGCGTGGCCTCCGCGCGTGGCTCGCTTTGTCAGCGATTGCGCTCGTAACTTTATACGTCTTCCTCGGCTTCGAGTTATAGTCGGAAGACGTTAAATAATATTTAATAATTAATAATTATGCTAATTTGGTTATAGCCGTTTTGGGCTATAACAATGCAATGAAAAATAAGGGGTTCTATTTAAGAAATTGAAGGTGACCTTCATGTGATCTTCAAACGACTATCCAAGGTCACACCAATAACACCATCTTATGTCCCCCTCAAAGTAAAAAAACTTTTGTATGCCCGTAGCTGTGTGTGGCGTCGTATTATACGTGAACATTGCGAAGGGTATTTATTCGTCCTAGTCTGTCTGGTCGTCATTTATATAATGTCTTAAATATTCGGCTAATGTTCGATGCGATCGTTCTAACGCGCCATTACTTTCCGGATGATAGGCAGTTGTTTGTATTTTATTTATTTTTAATAATTTGCATGTATTTTTAAATATTTCGCTTAAGAAATTTGTGCTTTGGTCCGTTAAAATTTCTTCCGGAATTCCATGTTCGAGAACAATTTTTGTAACAAATTCTTT